TGAGAGTCGATGGGTTTTTGAGCACCATATGGGAGCCCCCCCACCAAGAGTATTTTAAGATTACATATGGCAGGAGGAAGATAAAGGAGAGGAAAATCTTCTGGAACCCTAGATTAGGTACTTCACAGAAATATTTCCCCCAGAAGACAATATCAGGGGCCTGAGAGCAGGAGTTTAGAGAGAGTCAGATTAAGCACCGGGGGCTTTGCTGCTGGGGATGTCTTGCACTCCAGGCTAGGTCTGTCTGTCCTCTCTCTTCCCTCCGACCCTCCATACTTCCCTCTGATCCCTCTGTATTTATAGTATCTGTACACAGAGCCAGTCTTCCCCAACACCTTCAGCTTCCACACGCTTACTCAGGTACCAAATTCCAGTGGATATGAGACCAGGCTGGCCGTGACACAGCTAGTGGGGGAGGCAGTGATGGAAGCAGACCATTCTCCTGACCAGTTCCTATTTCCTGTATGTAATACACCAGCCAGCCCTGTGTCTCTACCTCCAAATAGATCCCCAATCTTTCGACTTTGCCCTAGCTCCCTGCCGTTCGCCTGATCCAAGCCACGGGCCCAGCTTACCAAAACTTTCCTGCTGATCTCTCTGCCCCTTATGGAAAATTCTTCTAAAAGTCAGATCGTGTCTTACTGCTCAGAGGCTTCCACTCAGTTTTCACTTCTCCTGAGACTGAAATTCAAACATTTACTGTGACTGCAAGGCTCAAGGCCTGGCAAGACCTTTCTCTTGTCTATCTCCATCTCTTGAGTTCCATGCATTTCTGTCATGCCACTCCCACCTCCCGCCACACTGGCCTTTTTTATGGTTCCCCATCATTTCTAGCTTGCTCCCATGCTGGTCTTTAGCATCTGTTTGTCCACAGAGACATTCTCTCTTTGCCCACCTCCCCAGCTCTAAGCAGGCAGGGGTGGGGAGAGGGGGTCTTTCTCCCTCTTAGGTCTTCAGTCCAGGAGCCCCTTTTGACAGGATAGACGCATCTCCTTAGACCACCTGAGCTGAAGAAGCAGCTTTTGTTTCCCTCCACCAGTCTCTAGCATCTTCTTTGATTTATTTATATATTTATTTACTAGTGAATCACTGTGAGATACTGTTACATACTTCCAGACTTTCATGTTTGTGTTTCAGTCATACAATGATCTAGTACCCATCCCTCCACTAGTGCCCATTTTCTACCACCAATGATCCCAGGATCCTTCCCACCTCCCCCATCCCATCCCCCCTCACCCCACCCCGCCTCTGTGGCAGGGAATTCCCTTTTGTTCTTTCTCTCCTTTTGGGTGTTGTGGTTTGCAATAGAGGTATTGAGTGGCCATCATGGTTGGTCTAAATAGTCTACTTTTGGCTCGCATCTTCCAATCCGAGCAGGTCCTCCCAATACCCTTCACTTGGTGGTCCCTTATCTATCTGAGCTCTAGCATCTTCTTTTCTTTCTTCCTAATACAGAACCAAAGTACCCTAAAGTACCCCACCCCTCTCATGGTCTTGTTTTCACCAAGGACAGAAAGTTTTTCTGTATGTTCACTGCCGTGTTTCTCCAGTGTAGATTCCAATGTCTGGTGTATGTGGGTCATCAAACAGAGAGTCAATAAATACCTTTGAAAAAAAGTGAAAGAACACCGGAGATGAAGGAGAAGCCCAGAGGTGTGACCTCAAGCCATGCTCCCAAGTCACCTTTGTGATTCCTACTTGCCCAACTTCAGCTGCAAAGCAGCATCTCTGACCTCAGACAGGCCGGCACAATCTCTACTCAGTTGGGGGTCTGCCAGGGAGGTGGGTTAATTTGTCACTGTTTACTTGCCATGGTCTGCACCTCACTCAATGCTGCTACAGGTGAATTGTGACTTCAAGTTCCGTTTTCAGCTGTTTCACTCACAGAGATGTTTATTTTCCTTAAAAACATTGCTGATTTTAAAAAAAGCAAAGTTTCAGCAGTTTGGGAGGAAAATAATGTCCTTGGCTGCAAGAGTCGGACCGTTGGTGGGCACGTGCTGCCACGACTGCCAGCTTCTGTGAGGAGGAAACTCAGCAAGTACGCGTGGAGCCCGGTGCTTAGCACCACTGAACATCTGGTGGAACAGGCGAGGGGGATAAGCTTTTAGATTTTTATTCTTCTTAGCATCGTGTTAAATTGGCCGTGAAACCAGGGATGGTGCGATTACATTCTAAGAGGGCTGAAATATTAAATAAAAATCGAGGAGAGTGTCAAGGTGTTTGCTCAAGGTGGGCAAGTCTAATAGGAGACAAAGTGCATTTGAGGGGCAGCAAGTGGCCAAGAAACCATCGTTGTCTTGGCTAATGAGTGCCGCAGGGATGGCTGGCTCTTCGGGATGGGGTTTGTGTTGCCTTATGCGATCACCCCTGGAAAGCAGAGTGCGTCCTTTGAAGGGGAGTCACTGATTTGTTCAATATTAGAAGGATGCGGGAGTATGACCAGATGGAAATTTTGTGTGGCTTTCTGTCTGGATTTTATTTTATTTATTTTATTTTATTTTACTGTACTCTCCATTCTGTCCAGCCCTTGGACAGGCTAAGTCCATCTGTGAGGATGTAATTTTCTATCTGATTCCTGGCAAATGTACCTGGAAGAGGTCATAGGTTCACCTGGTCCACTCAGAGGTGGCAGGAAAGGTCACAGTCTTTATCACCTGTCACCAGGACTCTCTGGTCCAGATTGGCAAGAGGTTCAGTCTTGGTCATTTGGAGAAGAGGAGATTGAGTCAAGTGCCTTCAATCACTCAGCCATCCTGACACCCTTGGTCTTGGTCATTTGGGGTAGTATGTCCTCAAGGATGTGTTGACCATTAAACCTTTTCTGGGGTCTTAGGAGGAAGAATTAAACCCAAATTTGTAGCTTGTGTAAACTTCTAAACTCTGGGTTCTTCCACCTTGGTTGACCTGGAGCTGCCACCATGATGCCAATGAATGTGGCATAGGAAAGAACGTGGGGGTAGCTTTCCTGATCCGATATTATATACAAAAAAATACAGTACAAGACCATAAGCAGAAATAACCACAAGAATATGAAATAATCACAACAGTAATGTGTACAAGATTATTAGGGAGTGATGAATTTTGATTACCTGTTTCTTTTGTTTGAACACAATGGCTTTCATTTTCAGTTTATTTTTCAAACATCACTGCTGTGTGTGTGTGTGTATGTGTGTGTATGTGTGTGTGTATGGTGTTTGGGTCACACCAGGCAGTGCTCAGGATGGACCATTGACTCTGTGCTCGGAGATCACTCCTGGCAGGCTTGTGGACCATATGGGGTCCTGGGGATCAAACCCAGGTCATCTGTGTGCAAGGCAAAAGCCCTACTCACACGTACTATTGCTCAGACCTACATATCCTGAAAGCTTAGCAGTTGGCTCTGTGTGCAAGATGGGTCACTACTGCTTGGGTAAAGTCTTGGTACCTGTTGCTGATGCAGGTAGACCCAGGATCTGTAGTACCTGCAGTGAGCAGCTGTTAGCAGCAGAGAGGAGCTGCCAGGCATTGGCTTCCAGGCACTGGAACTTCAGGTATGCACTGTTGGGTCTCTGAATTCAAGTCCTCCAGCCTCAAGGCTGATAATACCCATCCTGGAGTCATCACTGAGAGAGCCAGGTCTGTCCTGATCGGGGGATGCCCACGGCAGACACATGTCTCTGTGTCCTAAGTCTCACCTCTGATCCTACTGAGCAGTCACACATTCCTCTGACTCCTAGTGCCACCTGCAAGAGCAGGACTCAGTCCCTGTGACTCAGCAGTCTCAGATCCCCAACAGAGTGTGTGATCTGCAGCGCATGGCCAGGCATGTGTGCGTGCCACAATTCAAGTGTGTGATCCCCCAGTGAACACAACAGCTGAGGTGTGTGAGTGCCAAGGCCATGGATGGAGCCTCAGGGAGCCCCGAAACAGTGCCTAGGTGCCTGTTCATTCCAACAAGATCAATAGCCTAGGGAGGGGCGTGGGAGAATCCATTAAAACTGCTCTCATGTGTTTCTTGGTGCTTTTCTCGGGGCGGGGGGTGGGGTTAGGGGTTAGTTCAACATTTACACATCTGTGCATGGCTCATGTAGCACTTGTACTAGCTAGTGTGTGTTTAAAGGTCTCCCCAATAACAAAGCAGCCCCATCCCCCATGGAACTTTCCCTCTTGCCTGCAATCCTCTCTCCTAACAGTTTTGTGTTTACTGAGAAGTGAGTCCAAAAAGGTGGTTCCAGACTTTAGATTGCTTGAGATGTCATGGAAAAAGTGATTGGCAGGGCTTGTGAAGGGCGGGGGGTGATAGTGGGTAGTGGTGGTTGTGAAAGGATGCAGGAGGATGCAATGACCTTGGTCACACTTCTCACCCAGGACATCCAGGGAGCACTTTCTAGGGATTGTTTTATCCAGATTCTCTAAGAACCTCATATGAGTCTCAGTTTATACTCAGATAAGGGCACCAAGTCTCAGGGAGGTGAAGAAATGGCTTCTGTTTCCCTGCAAACAGATCTCCAGGCCAGTATTTGACTGTGTGGTTGGCCCTTGGCTGCCCAGCTGTGAGCGTGGAGTCTAAAGGGAGAACTTCTGGAGGCCAGGGAGGCAGTTCCTGGATTAGGGTACATGTGCCCCACCGGATGCCATCCCTGGGGGCCCAAACAGCACCACAAACTCAGACCCTCGCACTGAGCCTCTGGGCCAGTTGGCTGAGTATCACTGGGAGTGGTCCCCAGAACCTTGGGTACTGCTTGGAAAGGCACCTCAAAAGAAGGGGGAGATATCTGGAGCAGATGGGAATGCCCTTGAGCGAGATGGGGGAGGGACACTGAGGCCACTTCACACAGGACAGGCTGGCGCCAGACTGGGGAGTCAGTTGATCACAGAGACTCAGGAAAAGTACAACCAAGAAATGGTCCTCATAGCATCCCCTGCCTGTAAGTCTACTGCTTCCTCTTGTGGGTGGGGACAAGGGGACTTGGCAAGGCATCACCCAAAGCCAGTTTCCTTCCCGAGGGCTCACTTACCGGCTTCGTTTCAGGTCTTTTTTGAGGTTTATTATTTCCTGGTCCAAATACCGGATATTTGTCATCGGCTTGTCTGTGGTCTGATGGGAAATCAAAAGGAGAAAGAAAAATTGTTAGTGCAACGGTTACAGGTGGTACCCGGAGAGGTCCCAGACCCCAGGCATGACTCAAGAGAAGAACAATAAACATGAGCTCCCCTCTGCTTGGTGCTGGTCAGGCATGAACACGTAGTCTCAGACTCATCATTTAGCTTTTTTTATAAAGAGATCTGAGCAGAGGTATGCAGATCAAAATATAAAAGAGGAAATGGCCACCCCTAATGCAGTGATTCTTGCCAGAGGTGAGAGGAGGGCATATTTTTAATTATTTTTCTTAGCATATGTGAGCCTCCTATTACTCTGACACAAATATACACGAATTGTATAGCAGATGGAGAGGCACCTTCTAGAAAAGCCAATGGCCAGGTGAAGGTTGAGGAGAGCTTGTTGATAGTGTTGGGTTGAGTGTTTGTGAAAGGCAGAGTGAGGCAGGGCTGAGCAAGCAGAGACCAAGCTGTGGACGAGTGTGTGAAGCCTAGCGTTTGCTCACCTGGTGAGTCTCATCACCCCTTTGCTCTGAAGATGCATGGGGGCAAGGCTGCCTACAGCTGTAGCTCTTTGAAATAGAGTGTCTGTCTATTTATTATTTTATTTTTTGCTTTTTGGGACACACCCGGCGATGCACAGGGGTTACTCCTGGAGGTGCTCTGCGGACCATATGGGATGCTGGGAATCGAACCCGGGTCGGCTGCGTTCAAAGCAAATGAACCACCCGCTGTGCTATTGCTCCAGCCCCTGGAGTGTCTGTTTAACCTGTTGACCTGGGCATGGACCAGAAGGGCCTGGAGGGTAGGGTTTGAATGGGAGGGAAAAGAAGGATTGCCGCCTAGTTTCCTCTGAGGACACCCAGTCCATTTCCCTTGCACAGTGTGTGTTACTTTTCCAAGTACTTACCCGTTGGGTGAAGTATTTGGCATATACTTGGTTAAGCTAAACTAGTTATGAAACATTAAAATAGTACATGCGAGGTTGCAACTTAAGGATTTAGGAGGACTGGTCAATGGTTGGAGCTAACCACAAGTGTGTGGGAGGCAGAAGGGAGGTAAGATATAGAAGAGACCACAATGAAAATAGCTGGGAATGATCACGCTTGACAAGGTCCAAGGGTTCAAAGTAGGTAAGGGATATTCTTGATAACCTTTCAGTATCAGTACTGCAAGCTACAATACCCAAAAGGAGAGAATGAGAGAGACAGAGACAGAGAGACAGAGACTGGTGGACGAATGTGTGTTGGAATACTATATGACTGAAATTCAATCATAAATGGCTTTGTAATGCTCTAAAAATAATAATAATAAACAATTAAAAATAAATGTTTTGACTAGGGGCCAGAGCAATAGTACAGTGGGTAGGGTTCCTGCCTGCACGTGGCTGACCCAAGTTCGATCCTCATCATCCCATAAGATTCCCAAAGCACTTCCAGGAATAATTCCTGAGTACAGAGCCAGGAGTAATTTCTGAGCACTGCTCAGCATGCCCCTCCCCCACAAAAATTTTTGACTTCATGACAGTACTGAAATGAAAGGCCTGTGGATTTGGAATTTTGACCTTTCTCCGGGCTGGCAATATGTGGTACGATGCTTATCAAAGTAGCATGAATAACAGCAACGAACATCAAACCACCCACAAAAAGAAGTGGGGCCATAAATCACAATCAGGGAACAGTGGTATGTGATGCCTTTGAATTTTCTGTTTAGTGGTCAGACATACACCTATATACTGGTAGGGAAAGTATCTAAAATAATTTCTTAAGTCCAGAGAAAGAGTACAGGGGTTAAGAGGCTTGCCTTGCATTCAGCCCACCCTGATTTGATTCCCAGCACTGCATATAATCCCCTAAGCACAATGTCAGGAGTAATCCCTGAGCACCACCATGTTTGACCCCAAACCAAAACCAAACAAAAACTCATCGGGGCTAGAGAGATAGTACAGGGGTTAAGGCACCTGCCTTGCATCCTGCTGACCTACTTCAACCCCCCTTCACCACATGTGGTTCCACTAGAACGACCAGGAATTACTCCTGAGTACAGAGGCAGGAATAGCCCCTGAGTACAGCAGGGTGTTCTCCCCTCCACATAAATAATTCAAGTGAAAATTCATATTACAGAATAGAAGTTGATCACAGAGGTTTTACAATTTATACTCAGAGACAGTTTTCTAGAAATGTGTGCAATTAAGATATAGATTATGTTCTAAATTATTGTATTTATGCCAAAATATATGTATAATGCCATAAAAAGTTGTAGGCAAATGAAATAAATGGATGATGAATATTTTACCTCAGGGTGCTTAAATGATAGGTAAATCTTTTTTTTTTTTGCTTTTTGGGTCACACCCGGTGATGCACAGGAGTTACTCCTGGTTCATACACTCAGGAATTACTCCTGGTGGTGCTTGGGGGACCATATGGGATGCTGGGAATTGAACCTAGGTCGGCTGCGTGTAAGGCAAATGCCCTACCCGATGTGCTATTGCTCCAGCCCCGGTAAATCATTTTTTTTTACTGTAGTTACCCCTTTCCCTAATTTTAAATATTGTGCAGATATTGTCTAACAATAATCTTTCCCATATTTGTAGAGCCATTCTAATTCTATCAATAAGAAAAATGTTAGTTTTGAGTTGATCTAAGTAGTCTGGAATGATATCATTTTATAGTTTTTATTGTTGTTCTTAGTGTATCAGACAGAGAAGACTCCATGTGCATAGTTCAACAGAGAGAAGCAGCCATATGTGAGGAGAGCTGAAAAAAAGACAAGCTGAAAACAAGACATTAGTGAAACGGGGGCATTTTTTTACCATCTCCAGAGTTGGAGGGGCTAAGCTGAGGGTGGATCTCCAAAGGCCTGGCATCAGGCTGCCTGGCAGAAAATGGACTCATGGAGAAAACAGTGTTTCACCTGGAGACGCCATCAGGAGTTGAGGAGCAAGGGGAAGATGAGTACCTGGCACCCCTGCCCTCCCTCCAGCTTCCCCTTGGCGCCTCCTACCAGCTGAGCTCACCTGGAAGCCAGCTGGCAGGGTCTCTGGGGCTGCATCCTAGAGATTCGCTCCCTTCGGGAGAAGGAAACTGAAATAGGTAAAAGCGTGTGGTTATGGTTATGGCTTCTGCAAATGATTGGCTACAGCTGCTCACCAGACTCTGCTGGACTCAAAAGCTTGTTCTCCCTTTAATCAAGGACCAACTCACAGATGGTAGCTCTGGCTAGTCCTTCTCTCTTGATCGAAAACTGGAGGTCCCCAGAATTTTCTGTGGCTTAGATGTAGCTCCCGAGTCGGCAGACTTCCTCTTCGCCCTCTCAACATCATTTTCACTCCCTGTTTTCAGGAGTGATGCAACCCTCTGACATTTTCAGCTTCTTTCCTAGGAGTTACTGTGAATCTAGATGATCATAGATCTCTTCCTCTTGCTTTAGATCTTGCGTGTCCTTAGCCCCACCACCTTTAGGTCCTTTTCTTTGCTGAGAAGCAAACCGATGCCCCATTGATACTGATTACAGGCATGCCTCAGAGTGATTTTTGGGTCCACGCCAGATGCCATAAAGTCAATATTGCAATTAGAAGACTCGCAAAACTTTTTTGGTTTCCCAGTGCATATGAAAATGATATTTATGGAGCCAGAATCTTTTTCCGGTTCATAAGCATGATTGGGTGTTCACACATTTGTGTGTCATGTGCCTCCCTTAAATCTTGTTATGCATTTGGCACATTACCCATCTGATTAAAAAAATTATTTATGGCAGGAGCGTGATAGTACAGCAGATAGAACATTTGCCTTGCACGAAGCTGACCTGGGTATGACCCCTGGCGCATATATGGTCCCCTGAGCTCACCAGGAGTGATTCTTGAGTGCAAAGCCAGGAGTAAGCCCTGAGCACCATAGGGTGTGTCCATCCAAACCCCCCTACAGGTGATATTTACAGAGAGATAACGCAGGGGTTGAAGTACTTGCCTTGCATGCTGCTGACCCCAATTCTATTCCATGCACCACACATTGTCCCCCAGTACTGCCAGGGATCACTCCTGCACACAACCAGGAGTATCTCCTGAGCAACCTGGGTGGGACAAACCCCTCCCACACAGTATCACATTTATACCATACTTTAGTCTATAGTAGCACTGTGTTTAACAAAGAAAACAATCAATGTACCACCTAAATTAAAAGACACTTTATTGCTAGATATTGCTAACCACCAGCTGAGATCTAGCTATTCTTAACCTTTTTTGCTGGAGGAGGGCCTTGTCTTGATGTTGCTGCCGCAGATGGTGGCAACTGCAGGGTGGTGATGGAAATTGCTTCTGCAAATAAGATTAATAGTGAAGCTTGCACATCAATGGACTTTTACTTTCAGGGAGTTTTGTTTCCTGTAGCAGGTGATGCCATTTGACAGCATTATTCTCCCGCTGTAGAACTTCTTTCAGAATTAGAGCTGATCCTTACAGTCCCCGTCTTGACTCTGTCCACTAAGTTGACGTCATCCTAGAAAGCCTTGTCGTTTCAGCAATCTTCCCCATAAAGGGAAGATACTGTCTTCACAAATCACTTTTCATTGCTCATTCATTGGAAGCAATTCCAAGTTTGCTTTCAAGTCTGCTCATGAACTGCGGCAGCCCAGCCACATCTGTAGGCTCCATTTCTAATTCTATTTCTCTCGCTGTTTCCACCACATTTGTGGAAACGCTCTCCATGATGCTTGAACCTCTTAAAGTTATGCACTAGGCTTTGATTCAGAATCTCCCAAACTCCTATTCATGTTGATCATTGGAACTTCTATGAATCAATAATACTCTGTTTTTGGTTTTTGTTTTGGGGCCGCACCTGATGGTGCTCCTGGCTTATTCCTAGCTCTCCATTAAGAGATCCTGACATGGTTCACACCTGGGTCATCCATGTGCAAGGTGAGTCCCTTACTCGATGTACCATCTCTCTAGCCCTGAGTCACAAATGTTCTCAATGGCATCTAGAACATTGAGTACCTTCTATATCTTCACTTGACTTTGTCCAGAAACACCAAAGAGTCACTGTGGATGGTCACTATTTTGATCACTCAATCACTTGATATCCCGTTACTCATCAATTTGCTCGAGTGGGTGCCAGTAACATCTCAATTTGTCCCTGTTGTGTGCTAATGTAGCCCAATGGTGTCTGCTCACTACAGGAACACGAAGAGCCTCAAACCGTTTGTTCAGGGTCTTCATGAAGAAGTCGTCTCATCTCGTAGGTGGCCAGCCATGCGTTCTTTTGATGTCATGTGAAATCCAGTCGGTATTTGGCCACTATATATATTTATCACTTAATCACTTAATCACTTAACTTCCCGTTAGTCGTCAATTTGCTCGAGCGGGCGCGACATCTCCATTTGTCCCTGTCGCGTGCTAGTGTAGCCCAATGGCATCGGTTCGCTCCGGGAACATGAAGGGCCTCAAACCGATTGTTCATGATCTTGACGAAGAAGTCTGACCATCTGGAAGGTGGGCGGCCACGCGGTCTTTTGACATCCCGTGGAATCCAGTCGGTAACAGCTCTAGTTCAGCAGTCGTCTTTAAATCTCATTACGTGACCAGCCCATCTGATTTTCGACACCTTGGCATATGAGACAGCGTCCCTGATTCTTGATCGTCGACGGATGTCAGAACTCTGGATTCTTTCTCTCATTTGAGTGAAACGTGATATTCCAAGCATAGCTCTTTCTATTCTTCTTTGGGAGACCTGAATAGCGTTCTCATCTTGTTTGCGTAGGGCCCAGGTCTCTGAGGCATATGTTAATGCAGGAAGAACAGTGGAATCAAAGAGATGTGCCCAGAGCCGGAGGTTCTTCATCCTCTTAGCTATTTCTTCGAAGTTCTTGAAGGTGTTCCAAGCCGCTCTCTTCCTCCTGCGCAGCTCGGGTGCCAGGTCATTTGTCATGTTGACCTCTCGACCTAGGTACACATAGCTGTTGCATTCGGAGATGGTCGTTCCATTGAGAGCGAATGGGACGTCAGGAACAAGGCTGTTTCTCATAAACATTGTCTTCATAAGATTCAGCTGTAGTCCTACCTTTCCACACTCACGGTCAAAGTCGGCCAGCATTTGTGCCGCTTGGCTGATGTTTGGTGTTATAAAACAATGTCATCAGCAAAGCGGAGGTGGTGTAGTTGCCGACCATCTATCTTCACTCCCATTCCTTCCCATTCCAGTCGTCGCATGATGTTCTCGAGGGTGGCACTGAAGAGTTTTGGTGAAATGGTATCACCCTGCCGCACCCCTCTCTTGACATCAACGATCACTTCTTTGTAGAATGGTGAGATCCTGGTAGTGAATCCGCAATACAGCTCACGGAGGATCCTGATGTATTGGGCTTGAATGCCCTGATTGGCTAGGGCTTCACTGACCGCTTCCATCTCAACAGAATCAAAGGCCTTCTTTAAATCAATGAACGTTAAACAGAGCGGCATCTTGAACTCCCGAGAAACCTCAATGAGCTCGGTTATTGTGTGGATATGGTCGATGGTGCTGAATCCTTTGTGGAACCCGGCTTGCTCGCATGGGTTGTCCTTCATCTAGTGTTCTGCCAATCCTATTTAGGATGACTCGAGTGAACAACTTGTAGATGACAGACAATAGGCAGATCGGGCAATAGTTGCCAATGTCATGGATGTCTCCCTTCTTGAACAGTAGTACGGTCCTGCTGGTTTTCCATTGGGACGGAACCTTGCATTCAGACAGGTAGCGAGTGAAGAGCCGAGCCAGTGTATTGATGAGTACTGACGGCAGGTTCTTCAGGTGTTCAGGTCTGACCTTGTCTGGGCCGGGTGCTGTTTGTTTCTTTACCGACGAAATGGCGTGCCGGATTTCGGAAGGGAGAACGTTGGGAACGACATATCCATCCTGTGGAATTTGGTATGTCGGCAAGGGGACATGGCTATTGAAGAGATTTGAGTAGAAGTCATGGATAATCTTCTCCATTGCCATTCTGGAGGATGTGATGGATCCATCAGGACGTCGGAGGGCAGTCATCTTGGTCTTATAGTTGGCGAAGGACAGGCGGGCGTTACGAATACTTTTCCTGGCTTCTGCCGCATCTACCAGTACTTCTGCTCTTCTCTCTTTGAGGTCTTCCTTGATCGCATCTCTGCACTGCTTTGCGAGCTCGGACGTTAGCTTGCGGTTGCCTGAGGCATGCGCCAAACCACGCTGGCGAATTAGCTCAAGAGTTTTCGAAGATAGGCGACTTTTTGTGGCTATCTCTCTCTTGGCATTCCTTGCACATTCATGGAGGTGCTGAACCAGCCGATCGTATTCCTCGTCAATGTTGTCAACAATGGCATCTTCCCATGTTGCCGCAATAGTACCAAAAAGTTCCCAGTTGGTGGTCATTCTGGGAGTTCTCTTTTTGAACTTTGCAGCCCTTTCTCCCCGCTCTGTGAAGTAGAATTTTGCACGAAGGAGACGGTGGTCCGATCCCGTTCGAAATTTTGGGACAACAGCGACATCAGTCAGGCAAAACCGTCGATTGAATATGATGTGGTCTATTTCGTTGTGGAATCGTCCACCGGGAGACTCGCATGTCCATCGTTTAGATTCTGCCTTCTGGAACTGTGAGTTACCATGAATGGTCTTGGTCGACATGATGAACTCAGACAGTCTCTCACCCTGTTCATTCCATTCTAGGCCATGGGTCCTGATGTGAAGTTCTTCAGCTGATCTTCTTGGTCCTATCTTGGCATTAAAATCACCCACAATGATCTTGTAGAAGGTGTGGTCTTCTTTATAGAACTTCTCTAGCTCCATGTAGAACTTCTCGATTTCTCTTTCATCATAATGAGATGTTGGTGCGTAGACAACGAAGATAGAAACTGCAGGCAGTGAGCCACATCTATTCAAATGTAAACGTCCGATTCGGGTTGTTAGGCATTCGAATGAATCAATGCTCTTGGCCAAGTTTGTGTTGACAAGGACACCAACGCCTCCAACACCTCTTTTATCGCATGTTCTGAGGAACAATTCTTCTCCAGTGTCGAAAACGGCATGGTGAGATTCGTGCCTTCTTGTCTCGGTCAGACCAATGATGTCGTACTTGATCATTCGCGCTTGTACCATCAGGTCCTCGATGGATGCATCTGATGCTAGCGTACGTGCATTGAAAGTACAGACGATCATTTTTGTCTTCCTTCATTGTGGCAGCCTACATCAGCCTTGCGATTTTGTCGGCCTCTCCTTTCTCATCCTTCTCAGTGCTGCCATGTCGGTGAAGCCTTCAGGGTCAGGTGAACGAGGCCAGTTGTAGTTACTGGTTTTGGCATATTGAATACACAGTGGATAGCTTGCCAGGCTCTTCTGTGCGGGCGGAATACACTCGGTAGCTTGCCAGTCTTTCTGAGAGGGATAGAGGCTTTTGGAGCGACCTCTAATCACCCTTGTAGGTGTTACCATATTTGAACCCTATCAAATATGGTATGACAATTCCGGAAGATGGGTATTTAGTGTCTTATGATGTGTCGCTACTTCCACTACCCAGCCGTCGCCACACTCCAGGACGCTTTCTGGACCCACGCGGCAGCTCCGACCGAGACCCACGCACAACTGAACACCCACAGAACAAGATAAGCGGAACTCTCTGAGACCTTGGACTCCAGGCTCGGCTGACCCAGGGACAGAGCTTCTCTGCTTGCTCCCACCACCACAGGTGACAAAGGGATTCTAATCAGGAGCCCCACCCTACCCTGCCCTGTCTGCTTCC